CATGGTGCATACATATATCAATTTGGATCTTTTTTACCGACTTGATATTGAAAAATTATTTTATAATTTAACAATGAGATTTCATATTTCACAATCCAAGAACTCATTCAATATCGTATTTAGAACAATTTCTTGAGAATATAAATTTTTAGCTTTCTATTCTAGGTCTTACTTGGTCCAAAGGTTGTAATGCAAAGGTTAAAAGTATTAGAACTACTTATAGCTAAACAATATATATAAAATCTAACCAAATGAGAAAATAAAAACTAAGAAACAAAATCATATATATATATTTTTTCTTGTGAAAAATTGTGAAAATAAGATCCTTTTTTTTTTTTTTTAATTCTGCATCGTTCTACCTTATACAGTTATTATTTTCAGCATATTGTATATGAACATACTGCGATAGAGAAGTGCATATAATTTTTCATGTCTATTAAATAGCAGAAAATTATTGTTAAACTGTTCCATATATTGTGTACTACTTTTGGGTGATTTTAATTATTTGGTACATTAACATCATGAATATATAACATTCATATTATTATATGAAAGTGTGTTTTCTTTTTCTTTTGTTAAAACAAGACATATTAATATGATAAAAGAATTGTCTTCTCTTGTCCTTGGCATTATTTGTACTTAAAACTCATCTTAAAATTACCCATAGTCAATGTTTTATAACAAAGGACAATAGTACAAGGATGAAACCTTTTGTTAAGAATATGAAATCTGTAATAATGATCAGCAACTCCCCATGTTAAAATTTCAGTGACTTTATTATGAATTCTTATTGTTATGCTTGAAATACTTTTTTTTTTTTTTTTTTTTATTGCTTTGGCCACTTGTAACAGGTTTTAACCAAATATTTTGTGTTTTATAGGTTGGTTTCCCCGACTCAGCATACCTACAGCTATCTGAATTCCCTACATTAGAAGATAGATTTTGGAATGCCAAAGTTCCTGCCAGCTTCTTCTACAGTTTAAAGTGGTTGGTTTTGGACATGTGCTTAGACACGTCATGTGGTATTCCATTCAATGTATTGTGCAACTTAAAAAATCTTGAAAAATTGGAAATAAGAAGTTGTCATTCACTGAAAGAAGTGTTTGATATGGAAGGACAATTAAATGTTGATGGACATACATTGAAGAAAAGTCATCAAGAAGTTTTGGACTTCAACAACCTGAAATCCTTTAAAGTTCACAATTGTTGTAGCTTGAGACATATATTTACTCCGTCTATCATTTTGGGTCTTGCTCAACTAGAAGAGATAGAAGTAAAAAATTGTTTTTTGATAGAAGAAATCATCTCGAAAGAAGAAGAAAAGGAAGCATACATTGAGAAAATTCTGATTGCCCAATTGAACTCCATTCATCTTGACTCATTGCCTAACTTGACAAGCTTCTATTCAGGAATGAATACTTTGGAATGTCCTACCTTGAAAGTTATTATAGTAGCCAAGTGTCCACAGATTGAGACATTTTTTTTCACTAATATAAAGCACCAATCTAACCACATTGTGTCCCTTCTCAGTGAAAAGGTGTGTACCATTGATAATTTTTATCATTGTTTTAATTTTATTACCTTTATAATTATCTATGTTATTATCATAATCCACAGTTATTGGAAATTCATTTGTTATGCATAGTTGAAATTAATATACTGGTTAATTTCAATATACTTTTCTTCAATGGTTTTTAAGAAGACAAAATCTTTTTGTTGAATTTAATAACATCGAAACTATTATTTCCATTATATTTTGGAAAGCTTACGAGATGCTTTTTGTAGGTTGTATTTCCAAGCTTGAAGGCGATGTTTCTCTCACACATGGATAACTTACGGTTGATATGGCACAACCAACACCATGAAGATTCCTTTAAAAAACTAAAACACGTGACAATCAGATTTTGTGAAAAATTAATGACTATTGTTTCAGCTAATAATAGTCAAGGAGTTCTTACCTTTCACAATCTAGAATGGTTACATATTGAGAAGTGTTGGAGTATGAAAAGTTTGTTTCCAGTTTCCACAGCTGCTGGTCTAGTGAAACTTAAACAGTTGGGGATATACTCTTGTGAGTTGGAGGAAATTGTTGCCAATGAAGAAGTAGATGGGGCCCCTTCCCTTGATTTGTCTGGAAAGGTATGAATTTATCTGTACTTTTTATAAAATGTAACGTAATCATTTTGATTAATATGACATGTTCATGATACGAATTCTGGGGCATTGCTACTAATTATCTTACAATTGAGGTGATATATGTATTTTGTGTTGCATACTTGCCTGTAAAAGATAGTCACCAACTGAAGATTTTTTCCCTTTTCAAACCGAACGGCAGTAAACTAAGTGGTTGGTCTTTTTTCATTGATTAGATATTATTGATTTTTGTGAATTAAGAATTTCATTTTTGTTAACTTATGCATTTTTTTATTATTTAAAGTATATTTATTTAAAACATATAATTAATTTAATTAATTCGGGAAGTTAAAAATTTCACCAATTTTGTATTGATTACAAGTTACTTTTTCAAATTTGTCTCTTCCTAATACAATTAGCTTTTCTTTTTTTTTTTTTTTTTTTTTTTTTTTTTTGTAAAGCAAAAAAATTTGGTCACGCAGTTTTGCTTGCTAAAAATTAATCAAAAGAACTACCTTCTTGTTGGTCAATAACATGACACTGATACCGTATGTAAAAATCTTATTATATGCGTTTACCATAGGTCATTAAAACCTTCTTGCTTGTTCATCCATTTTGAATTACAGGTCATGCCCAATTTGGAATCATTGTATTTAAATGTCGATGCCTTTAAACTGCAAACTAAAAGACCATTGGAGGGATTCTGCAAACTAAAAGAACTTCAGCTGGGTGAATTAAATGATGAATCAATTCCATTTTTCTATGGCTTCCTCGAAAGGTTATACAGTTTGGAAATCCTTACTCTATGTGATAGTAGGTCCAAAGAGCTATTCCTATATGAAAGAGCCGCAACGAAAGAAGATTCTCAAGTGGATCCATTTCTTCCAAATCTCACAACTCTTAATGTATGGTATTGCCAGCATTTGACACATTTATCCTCACCATCTTTAATCACAAATCTCACAACTCTGAATGTATGGGATTGCGATGGATTGGTAAACATATTTACAAGCTCAACTGTCAAATCTCTTGTCCAACTCACAAAAATGAGAATAGAAGGCTGCAAGTTATTGAGAGAAGTAGTAATAGTAGGTGAATTTGACGAGATAGAAGAAGAGATCGTTTTTTGCCAATTGAAAACTTTGGAGCTTCTTTATTTATCAAGCCTCACATGCTTTTGCTCAACAACTTGTGCCTTCAAATTCCCATGCTTGGCACAAGTAACTGTGAGTGAATGTCCAAAATTGAAGATCTTTACTCAAGGAAGTTTAAGCACACCAAATTTAAACAAGGTGGAAACAGTAAAAATGAGTGAAGAATATGTTTGGAAGGATGATCTGAATTCCACTATCCAACAAATGTTTAAAGGGATGGTACGTACTCATTCACAAAATCTTTGTATTTTCTTTACCACCTTTGCTATTAATATTGGTATACTTGTCTTTACTACTATTACACTGGAGTAGATTAGATATGATTGTATATGTATAATTAGACTAAATTATAAACACTGTTGAATTGATATTGATAATAATATAAATCTTAATAAACATGTGTTAAATTAAATAAAACCAACTCTCTATCTTTATTACGCTAAAAGCCGCCACATTTCATCTTGTTCAACTCTCCACTGCTACAGTCACAAGAAGCCAGCTCAAGCGGCATCGGTGTTTCTAGCTAACGACGTCACAAGCCACGGAGCCACTGTCACCGGCGTCACTGATTCGAGCGCTCTCCGTGACAAGCAACAGGTAAGCAAAATCATTCTGCTCGACTTTTAAACTAGATTTTTAGAGTGAGTGCTTTGTGTAATCGTGGTTTGATATTTGTGTTTTAGAACTTAAGCTTCGTTTACTTGTGACTTTGATAATTATATTAACTGAAGCTTCAGTTTGATGTTTGACATTTTTATATATAAGACCTATAGATGTTTTTGATTGATCAAGTTAAGTGATGTTGCAGAGTTGTTTGATAAAATGTTTGAAAGAGATGCATTTTTATTTCAATACAATGTTACATGGAAGATTTCTTAATTAAATTCATATAATTATGACATGAATTGAAATTACTTAATAAAACAAAATTATTTCTTTGCACTCCAACACAGAATCGATCACCAATTTCATTTTATTTGTTAAATAAGGCTCTGAATGGGGATTAAGTTTTTCAATTCTAGTGTAAGACATGGGCGCCTACTTTTACTTTATTTAAATGCCTTGATAAAGTTTGATAACCAAATTAATGTCATCAGTTTGATTTATTTCTTTACTGTTTCATTGGTGTAAAACTTGCATTCTTGCTTTTGACTATATCAGAGCTACCGTTGTTGCCTGCGTAGTCAGGATGATGATATACAAATGAACAAGATCCAAATGGGAGTGGGAGGCAACGAGACAGCTATGATTGTGTTGGGGTTCCAGCAGGAAGGCTATCCCCAAAGAGGGCTAACCATTCTAGTTCTGTTCCAAGTCAGGAGGTATGAGCTAATGTATATTTTTTTTTCTTTTTTTGCCTTAAGTTTCCCCAGATTTCCTCAGTTACCTTTTTTTTTTTTTAAATATATTTCAGGATGGCTTCAACAAGCTTCATGATTTGGAGAGTTCACTTGCTTCATTTCTTCAGTTGCTAACAACTTCATCAATATCATTAACTGTCTTCCAGGGTAGTGGAATGTATTTTCCAGAAATTTTCAGTTTAAAATTGTTAGTGGATTTAGTGGAATGGAAAAAAAATGCTGACTCAAGAAACTTTTGTTCCCCTATTCATTTTTGTTACTTTCTAATCATTACTATTGTTATGCATTTGTGAAATAAAATTGCAAATGAGAAAAACCAGTAATTATTTTTTTCCCTTTATTGATGCAGAGTAGTTTTGATATTGTTGAGGATGATGAGGGTACAACTAGTCCTAGTTGGAAGGTTACTGCTCAATTAGATACTGAGCAACAGTTTCTTAGAAAGACTTACCAGGGGCCTTGGACCAAGAAACTGGAAGGAGTGACGGTGAGAATTCAGGGAAAACTATCTCTTTACCACATCATGCCATTTCTGAGGATAAAAAGTTTTTGTGTGATTCACTAATACTCGTTAATGCTTTTTCTCTTAAAAAAGTTACATGTGAAGGGGACAGGTAATCTTGATTGTAATTGTAGCTATATTTTCTCCCTCTTTTTTATTTTTTTTATTTTTTTTGGCTACTGTAAATATGAATTTATGATTTGGTTATTTCTTCCTTCTTTGTTCAGTTATAAAAAAATAGTTATTATACTGTTCAATATATACTATATAACTTTTCTCAGTTTACCTGAAAATTAAATTTTGACATGTTCTGCTTGCTTTTTCGGAAGTTGATCTGAATTCTTAGATATATTGTTTAGCTTATAATTATTCTGGAAATATTAGAGTAAAAGCACCTAAAAGTTATCGCATGCTACTTGTTCAAATAATGCAATTCTTAGATTCAATTATTCAAAAGGAATTAGTCTTTCAGTGTTCTTCCATATTGCACATCTTTATTTATGAATGGGCTCTGTAAATTTGCTCATGTAGATACATATATAGTTGTATGGAGACACATTAAACCTTTTGACCTATATGCCGCCTTCAATTTTATACCCTGTAGAAAGAATCATATAAAGTTGTACGGAATTATTTTTGGATTGCTTTGAACCTATGTTGTGCGAAATGCCAGCTTAAAAATTCTAGGACACAAATGTTAAAATTAGAATAAGATTTGGTTTTTGGTGGTGACACATAATACACCATATCAAAATGTTTTCTTTGTATCAAAAGCCTGCCCTCTGCACAAAGCTATACATTGAATTTATATATATATATATATGTTTCTTGTTTTGACAATATCAAAAGTACTGTGTTGCCTGCATATTCAGGATGCTGATATACAGCAAATGGACAAGATCCAAATGGAAGTGGGAGGCAAAGAGACAGCTAAGATTGTTTGGGGTTCCAGCAGGAAGGCTATCCCCACAGAGGTCTAACCACTCAAGTGTGCCCTAAGTCAGGAGGTAGTATTTTCTAGATTTTTTTTTTCCTTAAATATTCATCAGATTTCCTCATTTTCCTTTTGCCCGTTTTAGGATGGCTTGAAGGAGCTTCATGATTTGGAGAGTTCATTTTGCTTCATTTCCTATCAAATCATTGCAAGAACTTAAGTAAGGATTATTTCTGTCTCATCTTTTCATCAATATCATTAAGTGTCTTCCAGGGTAGCGGAATGTATTTTCCAGAAATTCTCAGTTTGAAATTGTTTGTAAAATTGAGTTGAATGAAAAACAAATGCTGACTTAAGAAACTTTTTTTCCCCAATCCATTCTTCTTATTTTCTAATCATTACTTTTCTTATGCATTTGTGTAATATAAATGCAAATTAGAAAAAAAGACAGCATTTTCTTCATTGTAATTATTTTTTCCCTTTATTGATGTAGAGTTTGTTTTGATATTGGTGAAGATGATGAGGGTTCTAGTAGTCCTACGTCAGTTTCTTTTAAGACCAAGAAAGTGGAAGGTGTGAGAGTGGGAATTCAGGGAAAACTAGCTCTTTACCTTATCATCCCATTTCTGAGCATAAAAAGTTTTTGAGTGGTTCGATAATACTGGATAATGGTTTTTCTCCTACGGAAGTTACACATGAAGGAGACAGGTAATTTTGATCATAATTGTAGTTGTACTTTCTCCTAATTTATTTGCTACCAAGAGGTTGTAAATAAGAATTTATGATTAGTTAATTTTTCGTACTTAGTTCACTTAAAGAAAAATAGATATTATACTGTCCATGTATAGCTTTTTCTCAATTTATCTGAAAATTAAACTGTGACATATTCTGCAAGCTTTTTCCAAAGTTAATAGGAATTCTTAGATATATTATTTAGCTTCTTAGATAATTGTTCTGGAAAATTAGAGTAAAACCTCCTAAAAAAATATTGGCTGCTTGTTCTTGAATAATGCCATTCTTAGATGCAATGATTCATAAGGAATTTGTCTTTCAGTGTTCTTCCACGTGTCACAGATTTGTTTGTGAATGTGCTCTGTAAATTTGCTCATGTGAGTTGTGCAACTCACTCTTCTTTATTATGGATGCATAATATAGTTGTACAGAGATACATTAGGCGCTTTGACCTATGCTACCTTCAATTTTTGACCCTATTGAAAGCATGATGTAAACTTGGGACAGAATTATTATTGGGTTGCTTTGAACCTATGTTGCACGAAATGCCAGCTTAGAAACTCCAGAACGGAAATATTAACATTAGAACAAGATATGGTTTTTGGTGGTTACACCACATCAAAATGTCTTCTTTATATCAAAAGCCTGCCTGCTGTTGTGATGTCCGCACAAAGGTATACACTGATTGGTTGTTTCTTTTTTTTATTATATATATATATTTCATTTTTATTTTTTTGTTTCCATATACATGGGTGAAAAAGTTTGACTATGTCTACTAAATAAGTTTGGTCTCTTGAAATTATTTTGAGTGAATTCTCTACAGCCAAAAAATAAGCCGAGAGGAACTATGGTGGCTCATTGTTGTATTGAAACAGGACAGATGCAAGTAACTGTCAGGTATTTTTGTTGTGATTTATTTGCTTTATAAAGTTTTACTATCTAAATTAGAGGCATTATTACTTGCTTTATACTTAAATATGAATCTTGTATTATTGTGTTACATCTGTTTATGCAGCAGAGGATACATCAAGAGCAGTGGTCCAACACAAGGGAAGCTTTAAAGTTATTTAAGCAATCTGAGCCCCAATGTATATTTGCATTAGGGGGAGTTGATTTTGAAGTGATCCATTAGTGTTGTGTTGCTTCCTAAAGAAACTCAAGGTGATCTTAACATATACAATTTATACAATTATCAGTTATACTAGCTAGTATATGTTATTTTATCCTCATCAATCTGAAAAGGATAATAAGTAAAATATATAAATGGTTAATTTTATCCTATTACCTATCAAATTGCAAGGCAGTCCATGAAAATGAGAAATGATGATTAATTTTACAGATCAGAAATTCTGGGGTTGGCAAGAGTACTCTGCTCTCGAGTTTTTCTTCTGAGCTTGAGTAGTTTAGCTTCTGAGGCTTATGAGGAGTTGGCAATTTCTTTTTAATTTTGTGGCAAGAGTATTTGGTTGAGTCTCACTTTTGGCAATAATATTTTCATTTTGTGATACAATATTAACTATTAAAATCATAGTGTAATATATATTAGCTAATTATAAATGTGTATTGATGAAATCTAATTTTAGCTTTATTAATGTTAATGGAGTTAAATTCTTTGAATGCTTAATTGAGCTAAGACCTACTTGCCTAGATACTGCGATTTTAGCTAGCCTTGGTTGTCTTTATTCTATAATATTAATTTTCTCTCTTTTGTCTCATTGTCCAATTAATAACTGACTCTCATGAACCAATTTCTTAAACATAAATCACTGGGATTTTCAAGGTTGATCTCACAATGACCTAGCTATTCAGTATCCAGAAAATTTATTGTATTTCTGACTCTTTAGGTATCTCGTGAAATTTTGGTGTAATTTCATTTTACACAATTGTACAAATATATTGTTAATGGTAGTTTTTCTATGTAGGGTGAGAACACGTGCTTCCATCGTAAACGGCCGCTTAGAGCTTGGTAATGTCATCTTAGAGAAAATCTCTGCTGTCCTTTGAGTGTGTCTTCAGAGGAGATTGACAGTCACCTTTGATATGGTATCCATTAGGTAAGGAATCCAAAAATAATTCAGAATCTTATTATTTATATAGGACTTGTTTAGGAAATATCCTCTTTTTTCTTGATTCATGATCTAATAAGGATTTCCTCTTTAATGCGCTAGATTTTATTTTCTGAGCACACACTTGTACTCTATCGACTCATGACTTTCCCTTGGACTATCGTGGCCATTACATGTCTAAGTAACTTGATTGTGCTCCTGGAGTTACACTCTGGTCTTATATGTGATACTCTACTCCATGAGCAAGGGTTACCTTTGCTTATAGGTTTACTCCAGAGCATTTTACTGGTGAGTTAACCTTACTCATGAACCATCCGTTTCTGGATTTTTTTCCAAAGTGATAAAGATATAATTTAGGGTATAACATATATCATATTTTGACGATCACAATTTAATCTTTAACTTGCTGAAATCCGAGATTGGTGCGATCAATTTTTTTGTTCCTGACATGGTATGAAATTTGTTTGGTTTTAACTTCATGTTTTTAATTTAACTGCAGCAATCTCTAGACACTGTCCTTGTCTGCCACTTAGCTAATTTGAAATTTGGTTTTTCTTTTTGGTTTGCCATTTGCGATCTCCAGTCCAGTCCTCCTCCTCCATTCGCGATCTCCTTCAAGCTTCGGCTTCAGCCTTCAAGTCTTCACTCTTCAAGTCTTCAACCTCTTCAATCATCGCGATCTCCTCCTCTTCAATCAACCTCTTCAGGCTCCAGTCCAGTCCTCTTCCATTCGCGATCTCCTTCAAGCTTCAGCTTTAGCCTTCAAGTCTTCAACCTCTTCAATCATCGCTGGTCTGCTACTCTGCTTCTTCCTTGCTGTGGCTGGTTTGCTACACTACAGTTTCGTCACTCATCAGTCATGACTTCAACTTCAGTTCAGAGTCTTCATTCTTCAACTTCAAGTCTTCAACGGTTCAACCTCTTCAATCATCGTCGTCGCCATCTAAAAGCCTGCTTCTTGCTTGCCGTTGCTGGTCTGCCAGATTAGTCAGTCACTACTTCAACTTCAGTTCCGATTTCAGCCTTCACATTTGCCGCCGTCTGTGAGCTGCCATTTGCCGTCAACCAAGTAACAAACTACTGTAAGAGACTAAGAGGCATCCTATCTTTCTCTGTCTTCTATTTCATATCATGATTCATGATATTGTATTATTGTGATGTGAAATTATGAATCACTGAATCTGTCAATTTAAATTTTGAAACTCTTAAAACTGATTTCTTTTTGTGAATCTTTGGTATTTTGATATTTTGTAATTTTGATGGTTGATGGATTCATATTTGATATTACTTTGTAATGCCTTTAATGATGTTTGAAACTTTAGACTTGAGGATTGAATTTGTAAACATTCAATATCGAACTTTGATAGTTTAATTATTATTGCAGGGTTGGTTTGATGGTTTTTAGATTTTAGTTACATAAAAAATCTGGGGCATGTTTGGCTTATTATTTCTGCTCATATTTCCAATCCTATTCTCCAAATAATGTTTGGCACATTATTCCAGAAATATTATCCTAATTTTTTAATTACTTTTAGACCCCATAAGGTTATTAATTTTATTAAATACCCCCTAAAAAAAAAGTTTAAAAATTAACAAAAACACCCCCGTGACCCATACTTGCCAGATTTCGGCAACCATCGTTGGTGGTAGTCGGAATCTGCCACAATGGTGAATTACCAACCGGAACTGGCCGGTAATTCACCGATCTGGCCTTTTCCAGCCAGATCCATAGTGGATCTGGCCGGAAAAGGCCAGATCTAGCTGTCAGCGACGGCCAAAGATGTGGTCGTCGTTTTCTATGGCTGTCGTTGACCGAAAACGACGACTACATCTTTGGCCGTCGCGTTGACGACCAAAGATGGTCGTCGTTTTAGCCTTTTCTGGCTGTCGCGGCCACAGCAGGCCATAGATCTAGCCTTTTCTGACCAGATCTGTGGTAGATCTGGCCAAAAAAGGCCATAACGACACGTTACGACACAGATCCGACCGGTCTGTGTCGTAATGTGATTTTCAGGCCAGATTCCGACGGTGGTGGCCGGAATCTGGCACTGGAGGTAGTGGGGATATTTTTGTCATTTTATATGTTGGGGTGTTTAATTAAATTAGTAAACCTAGGGGCTTTTTTATAAATTTTTAAATTTTACCTCGTAATACTCCCATATTCAACTACTCAATATTATTCCCAAAATCCTATCCAAAATAATAAACCAAACGCATCCCTGGATTTTTAAAGTTTTTTTCGTTTTTCCTGACGTCAGTATAATGATGTCACTGGTCTGACCTGTCGATCCAACCGTGAAAATCGGGAATTGGGCCTTTGGCGGAGTATACTTCTGGTCCGATTTTCAGAACATTGGTTGCAAGGCCCTTCTATTGATTGATACTTGGTTACAGTTCAAGTTTCAAGTTTCAATTTTCATTTGGAATGTAGAAACATAACAAGTCTTAATCTCTCTAATTAACTGGTTTCCTTTTGACTGCCAGCTTTGAATTGTTGCTAGAAAAGAAATTGTTCGATTACTATTTATTGAAGAGATGTGATAGTTGCAGTGCCCCTGGTATATAATTAGAGTGGTCCCTGGGTATTCAAGTTTCAATTTTCATTTGGTTGTTGCCTTTTGAGTGCTTGGTATATAATTAGAGTGATCCCTGGGTACAATTCAAGTTTCAATTTTCATTTGGTTGTTGCCTTTTGAGTGCTAGGTTTGATTTGTGGCTAGATAGCCCCCACACCAGAGAAGAAAAATTCCACAAATCCACAAGAGTAGCTAGGTGTAGCCCAGCATGTTGCAACTAAAACAAATCTTCTTTCCAACACTTCAATTATATATAAATAATACTACACACATTATTTTTATACGACATTATGTGGCAAGATGTGATTGGGTGAAAGTTTAATCTTAACTTTAAATTAGTCAATCATATCTTACTACATAATGTTGTATGAGAAATATTGTATGAAAATAATGTATGTGTAGTATTACTCATTATAGATATATACTTATATAGTTGCTTTGTTGTGTTTTCTCTCTGCTTCGTGATTTTGAAAAGAAATTAGTGACCATGAAAGACAGCATTGCTATCTATCCTTCTCCAGGAAGAGGCCACCCGGTTTGATGCTAATTTTGTTTTCAATTTCCGACTTCTCCGGCTTCCTTTCATTTGCATCATGATCTAAATATAACTTCTTTCTCCATAAGTGATGCTTTAAGATCGCCTTTTTCCTCTAGGAACCCATTAGCTGTATCTGCTTTTCTTTTGCTGGCTTTAACCCCTTAGCCAATAATTACTAACACTTTTTATGTACATGAAATTTTAGTAATTTGAGGAATGCTATGGAGCGAAGTGACAAATTCATGGTAAATTATGGTCCATATTTAACTCGTAATAAATGGCCTGGAGTTTCGTGTGACTTAAGCATTCTTGGGAATATTTCTTAACAGGAGGATATGGCAAGAATCATGCTCCCAGTGAAATCATTCAGCTGATTCTTAGAGCTTATATGAGTCAAATTCTTAATAATCAAGTTTTCACTGCTTTCAGGTGTCCTTTATAGACTCTTGGTTCTTATGTTTGAGTCCAATTAAGAGGATAAAGACAATGAGGAAATCTGATGATGGAGGGAAGAATGTGCTCCAGAGGCAGATTGTTTATTCATTCGGTGACCATTATTACATCAGAAAAGAACTTAAAATACTGAACCTTCTCACTGGGTATAGTAGCTTTGTGTTATGGCCTGCTATGAAATTATGCTCTCTTAATGTTGTCAACCTACAGGTATATTTTCCTTCTTGACAAATTTGGTAGAGTAAGATGGCAAGGGTTCGGATTTTCAACACCTGAGGAATTATCATCCCTTCTTTCTTGCACATCACTCCTTTTACAAGGGGAATGAGGTAACCAAAGCACATAGCATATTCTGAACTTTTAGATCATCTTGAGTTTAAAAAGCAAGACTCTTTAATTTAGTGTCCTGTTAAGTTTTGTAATTCTGTGAAAAAGATTTCTGGTTACAACTTTCCTTTTGTCAAAGAACATAATTTATACACTGCATTTGCTTGCTGTGAAAAGCATGGCTGAGAATTCTCGTTGCCAAAGGTGGGAATTACTTGAATATTTTAAGCACAATGAGAGAATTTTGTTGAAGAGGACCTGAGTTATAATTTCTGAAAGCAACTGATAGAAAATAAAAAATGGATTACATTTAGAGTTGAGTGAAATATTTTTGGAAACTCTGTGTTGATGCTCGTTTTTGGCACCAACGAATTGTCACGTGCGTAATATTGATTGGCTGTTATATACACGTGAAAATTGAATATATAAAGCGAAATAAATGCAAAGGGAGTTTTTTAAGTGGTTCGGATGCTAAGGAAGCAAGTCCTACGTCCACTGATTTGTATTGATATTAGTGTGGGTCAGGTCGCAACTGCGGACTGACTTACAAAAGAGTTGGAAAAAGTAAAGAATAAAACTATGTGCACTAACCAATGAGTACTAATCCAAGTACTAACATTGGAAATTTGAAATTCCCTCCAAATTTTTTTTTCAAATTTCCAATGTTAGTACTTGAATTAGTACACATTGGTTAGTGCACATAGCATTACTCAAAAGTAAATGCGTTTTTACAAGTGAGAGAGAGAGTTTTTTCTCAGTATGAAAATGGCCGAATCCCTTTAATGAAGGGGTCTGCTTCATTTTATACCCAACTGAAGCGTGTAATCATCATTAAATCCATGGTTTGGTGTGATTGTCAGGATATAATCCGGCTTTATGTCCCGTTTTCCCTTTCCCAAGCTGACTTCGCACGATTTATCGCAGAGAAATGGACGCGTGTGAGCTCCATATCATTTGGCAGATCTGACGTGTGCGTGTTGCTCTGACGGGAGCAGGTCACCCTTCACGTGACTTTCCCATGTCAGTCCTTTGGTTTCGCAGGCATAACAGAAGCCCCCTAGTTTTTAAGGTTTGAGGATCGAACCTTGGAAACTAAGTCGTATGGGAGGTTTTGGTCGCTCCGACCTGAATGGGATGAGCTCGGCACAGGACTCTTGGCGAACACGACCTCGCGCAATTCCTTGCCTAAGCGACCTGACAATTTTTATCCTAGCGAGCTGGATCTGATGGACGCTCCTTTTTGTACCTTAGAGATTCAATGAACCTGGTCCTGCGCTGTCAGGCGCTCTGCACGCGTTAAAGCGTGTCAGACACATTAAATGCGACGTGTGCTGACCCGACGCCGTTTTGACAGCATTAATTGCGCAGCGCATTCGAAACAACGACTATTATCACGGTATTTAATGCGACGTGGGGCATATTTAATGCGGGGAGAGAGAGAGTGGGCTGTCGTTTCAGTTCCGAGGGGTGGTAACCGTCGATTCGCAATCCATATAAAAACTCGCATTTTTTCAGACGAGGTCACCGAAATTTCTTTTGTTTCGAGTGACAAACCTTCGCAAACCAGAAACCATTCTTTTTCGATCGGCGCTTCTTAGGCAACTGAAACGAGCTTCGGTCTCGGTTACTCATCCCAGAAGGTAAGATCCTTTTCTTCTTCTTTTTCTTTGCATTCGCTTGGCTGGGCGATGGTGTTGGGTCTCCTGGTGAGACGTGACGCCGTCATTGGATTCGAGCCGTGGACGGCGGCTCGAGTTACTGTTAAGGTTTTTAAGAATTTGTCCCCTGCCACCGCACGGGACAAACACGGAGGCCTAAATGACCGTGTCTGTCGATGTTGCAGACTGGAATGGAACCGTCAACATCCAAACCCGAGGAAGGAGCCAGCTCGTCCTCGCGGGAAGTTCCCGAGGACGCGTCCCTTGATGTCTACTCGGTCCTCACCTCAGAGGAATTCGATAGGATAAAAAGGCAGTTTGATGTCCGCGTGGAGGTGTTCCTCGACCATACCAAGTCGTCACGGCACCCTGCCGATGGCCTTGCCGCGATCTCTGAAGAGATCTTCAAGGGTGGAGGGAGGATTCCCCTCCATCCTTTCATCAGGTCGGTCCTGGATCACTTCGGGATCTCGCCGATGCAGCTGACGCCAAACGCGTACGTCATCGCTGTCGCGATGTA